CAAGCTGGTGCAGCCACTCTGGAAAACAGTATGGAGGTTCCTCAAAAAGCTAAAAATAGAACTTACCTATGACCCACCAATTGCACTACTAGGCATTTATCTACGGGATACAGGTGTGCTGTTTCAAAGGGACACATGCACCCCCACGTTTATAGCAGCACTATCAACAACAGCCAAAGTATGGAAAGAGCCCAAATGTCCATCGATGGATGAATGGATAAAGAAGAGGTGGTATATATACATATACACAATGGAGTATTACTCGGCAATCAAAAAGAATGAAATCTTACCATTTGCAACTATGTGGATGGAACTGGAGGGTATTATGCTAAGTGAAATTAGTCAGAGAAAGACAAAAATTATATGACTTCACTCATATGAGGACTTTAAGAGACAAAACAGATGAACATAAGGGAAGGGAAACAAAAATAATATAAAAACAGGGAGGGGGACAAAACAGAAGAGACTCATAAATATGGAGAACTGAGGGTTGCTGGAGGGGTTGTGGGAGGGGGGATGGGGTAAATGGGTAAGTGATACTAAGGAATCTACTCCTGAAATCATTGTTGCAGTATATGCTGATTAATTTGGATGTAAATTTAAAAAAAGGAATAAAAAGAAAAGAAACAGATGCCCAAAAAAAAAAAAAAAAAGGGACACGCTATCTTGAATTAATTTTGAACCATACAGACACATAACAAAATTATTAAATTGAATAAATGCCAGGGTGAATGGATATAGGCTGAGTCATAAGCAAGAATTTAAAAAATGATTTACTGTTTTCATTATTTTATTTATGAGATGAACCCATCAATCAAATTTATATTGACCACCTAATAATTGACAAGAAATTTCTGGATGCTACATACACAAAGACCAATTAGTCCAAGAGCTTGCCTTAAAGGAGTTTACTGTTCATAGGAGAGCAAAGAAGACAAGAAAATAAAATACACATGCTATGTTTTATGACAGACGTATGCATGTGACTAAGATGGTCTTGATGCTCCCCTTAGCTGGACTAAATTCTAGACCAGTTTCTTCCAGATTGTATGTCTCTGGCCTGCCTTTTATTATAGCATTTACTTTATAAAACTTGAAAGTGCACATACTTTCTCTGCTCTTTTGTAATACAGATAAAACTTCTCCCAGTTTCTAGCCAGTTTTACAACCCAGGAACTCCTTCCTCAAGTACATGGGCATTAATTCTTTTGAAATGAAATCAAGAAAAACAGGGGCCCTAACTTTCAGTCTTCACGGGAGAGAAGGTGCCTAACTTCAATACGTACCAATTAGCAAACACAAATGGCTCAATCACATGGGCCAACTTCCCTCTAAGGTCTTATAGTACTTTTTCATAGCTCATGCTATTGCTTAAAAATTCTCCTGCCTTAGTTTCAATGGAGTTGAGTTTAATTTCTCTCCCTTATCGCAACAATGTTGAATAAAGCGTTCCTTGACATTTTTAACAAAGTGTATATTGCAATCTCTCTCTGGTACATTAAAACCATGGCAACACAAGAGACTCAGCCTGTGAGGGGATAGGTAAGATTTTTTTTTCTTTCAAAGAACAGGACACCTGAGGTGAGACGTAAATTTTGAGAATTAAATACTCTAGGTGAAGGTGTTGGCAGCATTCCAGGCAGAGTGAGGGGCATGCACACAGGCAGGGTTATGGGTCTGTGGAGCATGACATCAATTTCTTCAACTGAACGTTTCTTAACAAAGACTCTGTGTATATGTGTATGCATGTGTGTGTGTGTGTGTGTGTGTGTGTGTGTATACATATACACTAAAATTTAAAGAAATCTGAATTATTTCTATAAAAATCAATAAAATATATTACTACCACATTAGAGTTTTAAAAGCAAATTTATAAAATTATTCTTCTACCAAAGTCATCTACTTGTCTGTGTCTACTTTGTTTTTATTATAGTTAAGTCAAATCGGCTTCTGTTTAGGAATTTTTCAATGTCAATATACTTTTGAACCTAATCCTTTGATCAAGAGAGTTACCAATGAGCATTGGCCGAAGGACAGATTTGAATCACGGTTATAGGAAAACACTACTGCCCAAGGTGATTATTCCATCTGAAAGTTATACACATTCATGGCAGTGTATTCAAAGGGATGAAGGTAACAAAAGCTTGATTTTTCTCCTTTTCCTTTCAGGACAGCTCCCATGAGAACAGCTGTTCTCTTATTAATGCTGTTAAATGTTAGCAATAAACCTCTCTGGATTTGAACTGAATAAGGTGACGTAGAAGAAAGTTTGTACCAAATAAATTTGCGTAGATTAGAGTCTGCAGGTGGTCTAAAACATGCCTGTATTGGGAGCCAAATTGTTCAGCACTGGAACCTTTTGAAATGAGAACAAAGAGCCTTTCATTGCTGAAATTCTAAATGCAGCTTAGTACTTCATTAGAAACCTCTTAGTTCGCTGTAGGAATCTTTCAGATTTAATTATGAGGTTGGGAAAAAGCCTTCTTTCCCTAGGATACCATATTGAAACATTTAATTCTGTGTTTCCTGGGAGATCTCCAAGTTTTGCAAATTGCTGAAATTATCAGTGCATATTTAATCTAAATTTTTTCTGAAACCTAACTTTCAGGCTCAATCAAGTTAACCGTCTCAGTCAATCTGATTATGAAACTAAAATTACTCGGATTCTACAGCAGTCGAGTTAGAAATGAGGAAATCTGGGCTTGGAGAGTAACACATCAGAATCTGGAAGTCAGTATGGCAACTTAACCCTACAGAACGAAAAGTAATTGAATATCTGGTTGTCTCATTTGCTGCTAAAGCCAAAGCTGACAAGTTGAGCCTGTTTAATCTCCTGGCCTGTGTTCTTCAATTCTTGATGCCGGTATTATGTGTGTGTGTTTTCAATGTGTTTGAGTTCAAATAGCAATCAGTAAGAGCCCATGGGAACAAAGCTTTTCCAAGAGGCTAAGCCGACAACACTTTCCAATGTCACTCAGTGGGAAAAGAAAAACAAAAACAAAAAACAAACAAAAAACTGTCCTGTCCTTCAACAGCAAACTACCTCCTGGCTCTTTGAAGTTAAACAAAACAAAACAAAACAAAACAAAACACTACATGTTTATTAAATGAACAAATGAAAACATAAGCCATGAATCCCAAGTCTTGTCTCCAACCTCTGAATCTCAAGATTAGCACAAAATTGCTAATGGAAATCTTTTTATAAGCACCAGAGAAATAAAATATAATTTCTTTGATAATAGAATACTGAAGTAAAACAACTTTTGATTTTCACCTCATTCTGTACCAAAGTTAAAATATAAGACAGAACTGAAGCAAAAATTTAACCTAGAGGAAATTTGTGAAACCCTGCCTCATTAGTTTATAGTTCATGAAGATCTCTGTATCTCTATTTTGCAAGCTTACAACAGAGTACTTATAGAGGGCAAAATGGGTCAAACCCATGTCAGACTGAATTTACTAGATGGCTGAGATGAACTGAGTCATGAATTTTCCTGACAGTGCTAAAAGATGGAATAAATGATCAGAATGTCTTTCTTTGGTAATATTTTGGGTAAGGGCTTCGAAAAATATTACCACTATATATTTTTTTATGAAGGCAGAGGTAAACCACATACTGTGTTTTCATGAAAATAATAACACTATTTGTGCAATGTTACTGTAAGGGTTATGGGTTTTCCTAATTATGATGTTTGGGCCTCCTCCCTATGACAGGAGAAGTAGCGGAGAATATTTCAAGAAATGAATAAAACTAATGCCTTTTTGTCATCAGGTGAGTTAAAATGGATTAGGTTGGCTACATGATGTGCTCCAAATCAATGACCAGATGCGAATACTTTTCATTGTTCCTAATGTCACTACTTTGCCTGGTTCAAAGCCACAGTCATTTCTCACTTGGATAACTTCAACAGCCTCTTATTACCCTTATTCCCACCTCAGACTCAAGAGTGTTCTCAATACAGCAGCTGAAGCAACCCATTTAAAACGTAAGCTGAATCAGCTAACTCTTCTGCACCACATCTCTCAGGGCTTCCCAACTTACGCAGAGTAAAAGCCAAACTCCATACTGTGACCTACAGCGCCCCACCTTCAAACCCTACATCATTTGGCTCCCCACTGCCTCTCTCCTACTGCCCCCTCAGCCCCTTTCCTGTCTTAGCCACCCCAGCTCTCCTGATGCTCCTTGAATACCCAGCCAACGTCGACCTCAGGACGTTTACATGGTTTGTTTCTTTCTCTTCTTGGAACACTTTTTCCACCTGAACTGCCATGGATCTTCCTTCACTTCTTTCAGTCTTTTTTTCTTTTTTTCTTTTTTTTATGTCTTTCTTTTTTAGACCATCTGTGGGTACCTTATCTAAAATTTTAACTTTTCTCTGCAGTATTTCATATCCCCCCCTTTTTTTTAAATCGAGCATTTATCAGTACCTGACTTATTAAAGACTTACTGACTTGTCCTGCTTAGTGTCTACTGACTCCACTGGAAAGAAAAGTCTAAATGGGCAAGGATTTATATTTTGTCTGATTTGTTCATGGCTCTATCTTTAGTACGTGGAAGAATGCCTGGCACAGCGTTGATGCTTAATAAAAATTTGTTACATAAATGAGTGATAACTACCTCTTACCACTTCACATGGCTTTCCTTGAACTAGGCCAACAAAACTCTATTGTTGCTCTATATAGTATGTGAAATTCCTTTCATCTCTAAATTATTAAGATACTACAAAGAACAGACTTCAACCGCTTGATTTCTTTTTGCTTCATAACAGAGAATGTATCCTTGTATGAACATGGTATTATAATAGATTCCACAGTCTATAATTGCTATTATTATGATATTAGGGAAGGGAGGTTATCCACAATCCAATGCAGATGATATGTGGACACAAACTATGTAGTTCATGAGAAGCCTAAATTCATCCAAACCTATGTAAAAACAAAAAAACAAAAAACAACAATCCTAGGAAAAACACACTAGAAATAGATTTTATAAAACTTACTTGGAGCTTCATTATTTTCACAGGTTTCCTCTTCATTTGGTGCTTCTTCCTCCTCCTCCTCTTCTTCTGGGTCATCAGTATCTCCTGACTCATCACTGTCTTCCACCCATTTCCCTGGCATTAGTCCTGCTGAATCATAGGAGTTGCACAGAGGACCCACAATGTGAGAGATGAAGGATTCCTGAAGATTGGCCAACTGAGGAGCAGAACGGTCCATGAAGGGGCTTATTGGTAACCCAAGACTGGCCTCTTCATCACCCTGGAAATAGGAATTTAGCATGAATAGTCAACCAGAAAGATAAATGACATGGAAAATTTAAAATACTAGTAAAGTCAACATTCACTTGGCATCTAAAATTTGCAATTATGTAAGAACCCAGACATTCATGTGTGAACTCCCTCTTTTGCTTGACTGCTAAAAGATTCTACTCAAATTACTAAGATCCCTGTAGAAATGTTTTGTTGCTATTTATCACTTTTGTGATCTTGAGATTTTGGCTTTTGATTGAGGGGAAATAGAAGAAATGGTCTAATGTCTCAGTAGATGGTACTTCTTATTACACATGATTCCTCTTTAAATGAGAATATAAATGCACTTTAAAATGCAATGCTTGGGGCGCCTGGGTGGCGCAGTCGGTTAAGCGTCCGACTTCAGCCAGGTCACGATCTCGCGGTCCGTGAGTTCGAGCCCCGCGTCGGGCTCTGGGCTGATGGCTCAGAGCCTGGAGCCTGTTTCCGATTCTGTGTCTCCCTCTCTCTGCCCCTCCCCCGTTCATGCTCTGTCTCTCTCTGTCCCAAAAAATAAATAAACGTTGAAAAAAAAATTTTTTAAATGCAATGCTGGGAATAATTATCCAACAAATACATAATCTATCATGTTTTCTTTTTTTTTTTTCTTTTGCCTTAGCTGCCAGAAATCTTAGTATAGTTTATTGCTCAATTAAAGGTGCTATCTTATCCCAGCTTTTGGTTGAATTATATCTTCTGTGATTATATGGTTTCTGAAAGTCTTATTTGGCAATATGTTTATCAGTACTATTGTGTGTTTTTATTTTGAACTGCTTCAAATCTTTCTGGAAAAAAAAAAACAGATTGTAAACTAGTAGTCATCTAGCAAAATTAATGAATGAAATATACTGAAATACCAACAATGGTTATACCTACGTAGAATGATCATAAATTATCCTTTTTAGTTTTCTTTATTTCAATATTTGGGGATTGATTATGAATTAATCTCATTTCTAGAAAAGTATCTAGAAAGTATAAACCTTTTATTCTATATATGAATCCTGTCTACAAAACCTTATAAACCTATAAAATTCTTTCTAATCCCTTTTTAAATATGTCCAGTGATAGCAGGCAATTTATTACTTATTTCTGGATTTCTTCATAATACAAATTTTTTTCTCTCTTTGTCTTGAAATCAATCTCACTATACCTTCTTTAGACTGGTTATATCCACACCATTTTTAGGGAAGGAAAAAGAAATCTCATGTTTCTTAAAAATCACATCTTGGGGCACCTGGGTGGCTCAGTAGGTTGAGTGTCCAACTTTGGTCAGGTCATGATCTCACGGCTCGTGAGTTTGAGCCCCACGTCAGGCTCTGGTGCTGACGGCGCAGAGCCTGGAGCCTGCTTCAGATTCTGTGTCTCCCTCTCTCTCTGCCCCTAACCTACTCGCATTCTGTCTCTGTCTCTCTCAAAAATAAATAGACATTAAAAAAAAATCAGGTCCTGTGTTAAGCAATAATTTATCTTCTTTAATCTCCACAATGTATGATCACTTAACACTAAATTTGTAAGTCAGCCTTTTAAGTATCTGAAGACAGTTATTACATCACCTCCATTTTCTCCCGTGGTAATGATCTTCACTTTTTTCATGTCTTTTTATGTCACTGATCCCTGTCCTTTACCCATGATCTACTGCCTCCACATTCCTCTTAAGAGAGTAAATCACAGTACTCAAAACACAGTTTCAGATATAATTAAACCAGCATAGGATAATATGGGGAAGATCACCTCATGTTTATGTGTTTGGTAGGTTTTTTGTTAGTGTGTTTATTTTCACATTATCATGTCAAGTGAAATGCCTATTTTTAAAAAGTTTTTTTGTATGCTGCTGTTATTGACCACTAAAACTAAATGAACTTGGGAGTGCCTGGGTGGCTCAGTTGGTTAAGTGTCTGACTCTTGATTCCAGTCAGGTCATAATCTCATGGTTCATGAGACCAAGCCCTGTGTCAGGCTCTGTGCTGACATCGCAGAGCCTGCTTGGGGTTCTCTCTCTCCTTCTCTTTCTCTGCCTCTCCCCGCCCTCTCTCCCTGCCCCCCAACTCCTGCTCTTTCTCTCTCAAAATAAACATTAAAAAGTAAATGAACTTAATCTGATATACATTCACCCATATAAACTACCTTATAATCAGTTTATAAAAAAAAACAATATGTCAATGGTGTTCCTAATGGCTCACTAAGTCATTTCATTATCTCAGTATCTTCTCCTTCCCCTCCCACACTCCCACAATCCTTGCAAATTGTGTATGTTTAGAGTTTTTAGTCAGCGCATTTTCTGATGTATGAATATGAAAGAGACTGATCACATTTTACAGCTTTTGGAAGCTTTTCTGAATTTACGAGCAGCCTAAGTAGGAATTAAGATAAACAGTTAAGTTAGTTACCTGTTCATAAAATTCGTTGACAATACCCTCTGTCCACTGGAGATGGAGCTCTTTACATTTAGCTGGCCCATTGATATCAGCCAACTTTATACACATTTGACAAACCAGTAGACGATCATTTTCATTGGTCCAATCTATTCCAACATCATCATTAACCTGTTTGAGGGGCAAAGTTAAAATGTGTTTTGCCTCAATGAAAGCAAAAGTTGAACAGATAAACAATATTTATTATCTTCCTAACATGTAGAGATCAGAATACCAAGAAATGAAGAACTTCGTGGTTATTTAAAATAACATTATTGGCTTGCATAACAGTAAAATAGCTTATCGGAAGACTAAAATAAGAAATGATGGACAAAATAATTATTAATTATTGAAGTGAAAATAATGCTACTTAAAATTAGCATAGGGGCGTCTGGGTGGCTTAGTCAGTTAAGCGTCCGACTTCGGCTCAGGTCATGATCTTGCGGTCTGTGAGTTCAAGCCCCGCGTGGGGCTCTGTGCTGACCGCTCAGAGCCTGGAGCCTGTTTCAGATTCTGTCTCTCTCTCTCTCTCTCTCTCTCTCTCTCTCTCTGACCCTCCCCCATTCATGCTCTGTCTCTCTCTGTCTCAAAAAAAAATAAATAAACGTTAAAAAAATAATTTAAAAAATTAGCATATATATGTAAACAGGCTGTAAATTAAAGTGGATAAATAAATAAATAAAAAGAGATGCCTGAGTGGCTCAGTCGGTTGAGCATCTGACTCTTGATTTTGGCTCAAGTCATGATCCCAGGGTTGTGGAATTGAGCCCTGTGTTGGGCTCCATGTTGAGCGTGGAGCTGCTTAAGATTGTCTTTATTTCCCCCTTTGCCTCTCTACCCTGCTCATGCTCTCTAAATAAACAAATAAATAAAATTAGCATATATTACCAATTACCAGTAAATAAATATAGCTACAAACGGTAAGAAATTTTCTTAAGTTAAATTTTGGTGTTTATGTTTGAAGTGTGAAATTTTGTTTTGAGGTTTTGACCTTTTCTACAGTCAGATAATTTATGTTAATATGCTACAGAGGTGAGAGTAAATTAAATCAAACAAACACCCAATGACACTGAGAGTTTTATTTCTCTGCAGCACAAAATGTATGTATGTGTACACACACACACACACACACACACACACACACAGCACCTCAACTTCTCAGATTTCTAGATTGGGACCAATGTCTATATATCTGCTTCTGGTTAATCATTTTATTGCACTTTATTTTCACATTTGACATATAAAAGGTGAAAGCAATGAATTTTGTTCCACACTTTGATTCCATGACATCTTTCAATATGGTCATAAAATGAAGACTGGTACAAATCTACTTACCTTGGCATTAAATTTGGCTACGAAATCAAAGTGTTTCTTCAGGTCAGTGGCCAAAATTGCTTCAATGACGAGGAAACGAAAATGCTTAAATTCCACATGGTCAAGATTAACTAAGAAGTTGTACTCTGGCCGGGACATGAAAAGATTCCATGCAGCAGCTGCATGATGGTTCTCCAAAACTGAACGATCATTATAGAGCACCGCCTAAGCAAATAAGTAAGAGACTGAAGAGTTCAACTTTTAAATTAAAATAATAATAATAATAATAATACATGAGTATGCAAAGCTTTCGGAATTCTCTTTTTTCTCAGAACACAGAAATTTAATCTTGTGACTGTTGGTTATTAAGAATTATATATTGTAATTACATTGATTGATGGTTACTTTTCTTGGTTAAATTTCCTTTTCTATAAGATGAAGTTCATTTCCTTGAACTTTATTCTAAACTCTTGCAAATGAGGGGCTTAGAGTTAGCTTTTATCAGATTTCTTTGCACAGGAATTTAACTATTTAAAACAATCCAAATACACTAAAATCCCTAGGAGGTAACTCAGTTACTTTCTGTATCTAGAGTAAGAATTACCTTTTCTTAAACATATATAACTAATACATACGAATGGAATCCCTGAAAAGCTCATAATTTAAAACATTCTCACCTCACAAGCAGCCATTGAAAACATCATCCTTAAAGTAGTAATTGAAGGTATATAATAAATATCTGCTTGGAATTCTCTAATAATGCTCAAGGACATTGAAAAAGAGAAGGAAGTTGCCTAAAAACTGCTTGAAGGTTAGTGTGTCAGATAGATGACAATACAGGGTTAAAAGGCATAAGGATAAAAAGGAGAGCCTGAGCACATGAAAATTTACATTGAACTAAGTAAAAATGCATACATGTGTAGAAAAATATGCATGACAAATGGTGCTGGCAAAATGATTTGCCTATCTTTAGGGAAAATAATTTTGGGGTAAGAAGGACATGCTGGAATAAGTTTAAAATAAGTAGGGAAAAAATATCAGAATACTTTTTTAACATATAGATTAGAGGAAAATCTAGTCTAGTCTATATGACAGGTGGAAATGGATAGGGGTTGGGTAAAGGACAAAAGTCAAACAAGAAAAAAACAAAAAATGTATGAGACCAGATTGTCTTCTAGATCCTCTAGAAAGAAAAACAGGATCTCAGAATACTTAGTAACATGGATCCAGCTAATTAAATGAAGGAGAAACTTACTGAGTTTAATTGTATAAATGGAGATGCTGAGATACTCAGTGATTAATTTTTGACTTAACTTTAAATATATATGAAAATGAACTTCTTTAAAGTTATTGTTTTTGGAATACTACGTTCAGATAAAAAAAATTCCTTCAAATGAATGAAATAAGTTGATGTTTAAATTCTAATCAATAGAAATGTCGTAAGAATCATGGTTGTTATAATGAATATATCTCAAATGAATAGGATTTATATACAAATAAGCCTCATATTCTTAAAAGTCCAAGAAAGGCTGGGTTCTCTAATCTTTCCAAAAAAGAGACTTTAGTATAGGTTTGATTTTCTTTGTTGAGAAGGTTCACTAATATGAATTCCACTAGCTTTTCTTCTTAAGAAAACTGAGAAGGGAGTCCCATGGGTAATAAAGTTGCATGCCTGCCATTAATATCTTGGAACAAACATGATATATTTTCAAAATTAGCTTGGTCTGTAAGAATTTTTTCCTAGGGCTAAATATAGCTTGGCTCATATTCATTTGGTCCCTATTATAAGTCAAATTTATAAAATAAATTTCCTTTGGAAAAATCTCTAAATTGAATTATCTCTTGTAATCACAATTGAAAGATTTACCTGAGGAGCACTAGTTGCAACCAGGAAAGCATTAGTCCTTCCTGGGTGATCATAATCATGCATGGCTGCAGCTACATACAGGGCCATTAACTCTAAGGCAGGGATATTTCCAGAGAGACATCCGTATTTATCATCAGGCACATTATACATTTTTGAGAATACATATCCCATATGTCCATGTGTAAACCCACTGTCAGAATCTGAGAAGAGAAAATGAAAGTAACAGAAAGTTTTAAAAAGTATTAAAGCGATACCATTTGTCTTGACTTCCTTTTTTAAAGAAATACTTTCCCCCCCACAGTTACAAAGAAGCACAGATATACTTAACACGTACCTGAATCACTTGCTGATCCATGATCATTAATCACAGTTGAGTGGCCTGGAATAGGTTGTGTAGTAAGATACCAAACAGCATGTAAGACGTCAGTGGCATGGATTCTGTTATGATCTTTAACCAATGCAAAGGGAACAGTCATTAATTTGTGAACTTGGGGTCCAAGGACTAAGAGTGCCATCTACTGGATAAACATTTTAGTCTAAACATTTTAATACCCCAGCAAAAAGCAGCCAAACATTCAAGGACAAATACTCTTTGATTACTCTTCCATTACTCCAAAATATCCATAGTGACAAGAAAAAAAAAAAAAGCACACACAACATTCATTATTCACGCAGATGTCTGAAGTGGAAAAATCTGTGTGCAGAGTCTACCAGAAACCTAACATATAAAGAAAACTCACTATGTGAAACCCCTGTAATGTTTACCTTTATATGTATTTCCATGCTCCTATAAGATTATGCAGAGGACCAAAAATAAAAGAAAGACCCATGACATACTTCAAATAGGTCAGATCAATGGCCTATATCACCCAATATCTCATCTCTGATAAATAGCATGCAAATATATTCTGTGAATAAAACATAGTACTATTCTTTTGTATCAAACTTAAAACACTGGTTAAAAGTTACTAATATATCTTTTATATGTAGATTAAATCCACAAAGCAAAAATCAAGAACAAGAATCAATGATGTTCAGTTTGGGAATACAGCTCTAGGACATACCTACAGAGAAAAATAAAAGCCTCTTTGTACATTAATGTAGGGAGTTGAGTCATTGACCATACAGCAAAATCTGTGGGAAAACCATATCCTCTAGTTAACAATGTCATTATCACAGGAAGGGGGTCTATTCTATGTGTGCACCTCAGCTTCTACTGAACCGTGACAAAAGGCCCGGTGTGCTCTTGGCTCACCTTCTTTTTCTGGTGCAATTCTTCCAAGTTTTTCTCTTGTCTACTGGCCCTTCATAGTATTTCATTGAATGCTATGCCTTACCCTAAGTCTACTAACTTTACGTACTTTATTTCCAATGACCAACGATCATACAGTCTCCTCCAATATAGATTATATCTCTGAATAATACTCAACAGATGAAGAGAAAAGAGAGAGAGAAAAATAAGAATAATAATGGGACTTGGAGAGAAACATCTGGTCCCTGTTCAGGGAAGAAAGAAAAAACTGACACTGTGTTGGTGGGCACACGGAGGGAATGTGTGGAGATAGTGCCTATTCTCCTACATTTCTGGTGACTGTTAAGAGTCCGTCTTTATGTGAGGACATGTAGCTAGATCTTACGTAAACACCCCAGCAATTCAGTCTTGTGAGGACTTGAGAAGACGTGTTCAGAAGAGCTTTGAGAAACAGATAACCCAGGCTCCAAAGGAGGAAAAGAGGAAAACCTGTGCCCTTTGCCATTGCCAGATATTATCGAGTGCCCTAAAGAACAACTGTATTGAAACTGGAGTCTGTATCTCTGCATATGGACTATCTCAAGTCATCCAAGGCCATTATAGTTTACATCCACACCTGTGCCATGTACAAAATTGATCACACCAAACGTTTCTGGATTTAGGTGAGATCTGATTTTGTCTCTTTTCTGATAGTATTACGTGGGTTACCTTAATTCTCAGTCTCATTTCCTAATCTTGAAAGTATAGACACATTAAATAATGGTGCCTTATTATAGCACAATGGTACAATTGTGAGAATTACAGAAGACGTATTTTTAAACTCCTGACACATAGTAAGCTTGCAGTTAATATAAATATAATTCACATAAAATAAATTATTGCTGTTGGAACAAGATGATACAGATCACCAATTTTCTTCCAAAATCCATCCTGGATTTGTTAAACACTGAAGACCTAAAAATAACAGCTATGCTAAACCCTTGGGGGACAGAGAAGGCAGTGATGTTCCGGTAGAGGAAGAAACTGCCCAGGCTGCCACTGTTAGGGGATATATCAGGAGAGAGCTTCTAAGTTTTTTTCTCCCCCTTTGTGGCAAACTGGGAAAATGACTGTTTGCAAGTAGTTCCCAGTCCTCTTCCAAGTCACAGAAACCTGTGCATGCACCCAGCATCATGAAGGGCGGATGGGGGCAGGATCAGGGTTTTGGCAGAGTCTGTTTGGGGTGACAGACAACATCAAGTACAGATAAACCTGTGGAGTTACTGCTTCCTGCCCTATTCCCCACCCCAAGGCCCAGGGCCAGAAGGCTTCACAGGTAACTTCTGTGAGTTTTCAATGAATAATCTTATCTAAATAATCTGGTACTGAACATATAAAAAAGGAGGGAAGCTGCCCGACTCATTTTATGAGGCTAGAATAATCTTGATTTAAAAACTAGGTAAAGACAGTATATGGAAATAAATACCCCCTGTGCTCTTGAATATAGGTTCAGAAATACTTAAAACAATAGCTAACCAAACCTAACTCCTTAAAAAAAAATATCTCCAGTTATGCATGTGTAGATCCAGAAGAATAACACTGTCACTGTCATATATGCAGGATAGAAAATCACCTGCCTTCTAAGCAGTCAATAACATGTTTATTAAATAAACATTTACTTAGCACGTATTATGTGCAAGTATTGTGTCAAGTGCTAATATTGCTGCTGTTCTCGCCATCAGCTTTCTGATGACCAACTCAGGAGCAAAGGCACCCAGGAAATAAGCCAGCTAGGTCCACATAGGGGATTTTGTAGGACACACAAACATGCTTAAATATTCCTCTTCTTGTAGGCAACTGAGAGGGATAAGTAACAGTATCAGAGCTATCATTACTGTCATCCTTCTTCCTTCATCTCTGCATTTTGGACAAACCTCCAACCCCCTCGGTGGTTCCCCCTCCCATCTGGTAAGCCCCTCTGCCTCTCGGACAACACATAAACACACATGCACACACACTAACACATAATAGGCCCCACCTCATACCCAAAGCCTGTCCATCTCCCTCTTCTGTCTTGAGACACTTGTTTTCTCAACTTTCTCCTGATCCCTCAAGCACAGAGTTGAAGCAAACTGGCGTGGAGGGTTGGAGTTATACGTAAAATTCATACATTTTTAGACCTATAGATTTTCAATTTAAAATTCTATGTGCCGATGGAAAAGTGTTAAAAGAAGAAAAGTGACAATGTAAATATTTTCCCCTTTGGAATATAGCAAATACTGTAATATTTCTGCCTTTCCAGCTTATGCTGCGTCACCTCAGGATCTACTTTAGAATTGGTGGGCACATGACATACAGCTCAGCTGAACTGAACTGAACACAGATTGAGCAAGATTATTCTCTTACTGCCATTAAATAGTACCTGATCACAAGTATTTCTGAGACATCGTACCCATTTCTCCAACTTCAGTAACAAGAATGAGAGGTGTTAGGTAACATATATTTTAGAGATGAAATTCACCGAAAAGAGAAAAAGCACTCTCAAAAGTAACTTTGAATTTACTAATGAATATCACCTGATAATTTATCTTCTTTACCTGCCAGTATGCTCAATTGAAAAGGACTGTGAACAATATTAAACATTATCTCTCTGTGCAAATGAATATAAACTATACCTTAATCTATCCAAATCTTTACTGAGCAAGTATATATTTGGTATCATATTTCTGTCAGTGAGTTGCCTACATTTATACCTTGTCATATCTACCTAGCTACCCATGTCTATTTTATTTTTTTTAAAGTTTATTTAGCATGTATGTGTATGTGAGAGAGAGAGAAAGAAAGAGAGAGAGAGAAAGAGAGAGAGAGAGAGAGAACTGGGGGGGGGGCACCAGCCGGGGAGGGGCAGAGAGAGAGGGAGACAGAGGATCCAAAGCAGGCTCCACGCTGACAATGGAGAGCCCGACGCAGGGCTCGAACCCACAAACTGTGAGATCATGACCTGAGCCGAAGTCGGGACACTTAACCGACTGAGCCACCAGTCGCCCCTATTTTTAAATCTAGATTCTTCAAATTTTAATAAGGGTTCTGGGTACAAATTTAAAATATTTTTGGGTACCTGGGTGGCTTAGTCAGTTGAGCGTCCAACTCTTGATTTAGGGTCATGATCCGAGGATTGGGGGATCAAGCCCTGTGTGGGGCTCTCCATTGTCAGTGTGGGAGCCTGCTTGAGATTCTGTCTGCTCCTCTCCCCTCTCATGCTCTCAACCAATCAATCAATCAATAAATGCTTTCACATTTTCCTGCTTCTTTTAAAAATTATTAAAGGTGTACTTGGAAGTCTAATACAGTTTAGTTTCTATTATTTTAGGTGACTGTCATATTAAAGTTAATCTAACCCATTTTAGTTACTTTTGAGCTTTTTCATTTAGGTATGGGTTTATTTAGATAGAGCTATTAGAAACATAGTTCTCCAGGAATATGTATTAAAGTTAAGGACACATAAAACAAATTTTTATGTAACATAATTATAATTAATGGCAAACAAAGCTTTTAATAAATATCTATATTAGTTGAAATTTACAACACAACCACATGCAAAGAATTACTATTGAAAAGTGATCACCAATCAAGCTAAAACTTTCCTGTGAGAAGATATCAGTGAATTCCCTTTATGGAAAGTGTCTGGGACTCCTGATAGAATAGGCAGGTTTATAATAAACAAATTCTTTTCACATGGAATGAAGAACCCACTCTTTCAGGGAAAAAATCCATTCACTTGTAAAATAAAAAAACTATAAGCATGAATAATAAAATTTAGACTCTGGAAACTTCTTTATACACTTAAATACTAGTCAACTTTCCCTATGATTTAATGACACACTGCCTAGAGAAAAGTTAGTAGTTATTACATCAATTTGTACTCCATGGACTTGGCTATCACTGATTATGTTACTAAAATATATTTGGAAATACAGCAATTTGTAAATTTAGTCTGGTGACTAGCTGTTGAAAAATCAGTAACACTTATGTCAATCACTGGCATCCAACCAGGGGAGCCCTGGGAAAAGGGTATTAAGAAAGCAAGGCTTATCTTGAGATCCTTTCAACTACCCCTTTTTCATATTTCTCTCTCAATTTCCATGGCCCTATTGGCCAGACCTTCCCAAGGGGACCTAACCCTCTTTCCTCTACACCCACTGTCCTGTTTTGCCTGCATTTGGGTCCCATATTCTCCAACAATCTCATTGTGGATCCAATTCTTCATTCTCTTTTCCTATCACATGCCATTAGGTGTGCATTTTTGTTCCAATCAGATGGCATTTTGAAAAACAATATGTTAATAATGGATCACTAGTTTAATGTCTGGAAATACCTGTACTTTATTTGTCTGCATGGAATTTTTATTTAACTTCAGCTCTTTGCAACTAGAAAAAGACATGGGATTCTAAAGTCTAAGGTGTATAAAAGAAAATTTAAAACTTAAAACTTAGAACATGATTTGAACAACACATTTCTAAGACATGCCTCAACCAATATATGATGTCTATTTCTCTTGTTGTATGCCATTTATTTTCTAAAAGTACCACGTGATTTCTGCACATTTTCACAATTTCTATGACTGGGTTTTTGGACATTTTCTTCCATTCCATATATTTTGTAGCATTTAGGATGACGTTCAGATGAAACCTGCAATGCTCCATATCGGAAATTTAACATCTTCCCTCTGTTCTATTTTGCATTATTATAAATCACAAACTATGCTCATAATATTTAAAGTTCACAAAATCTTCCTTTGGTCTTCACATTTATCTGATTTTAAAGGCTTCTAATAATTTCTTTGCAACCACTTAGGAGTGCCTCTTGTGTATTTTATTAATTATACCATCACCCACCTGTCCCTCAACACCCAGGCAGGTTTTTGTTATATTCAAGAATATCAAGAGTTAATGTTTTAATTCTGCAGATGCCAGAACAAAAGTTGAACTCACCCAATAAAAGGAGTACATAATAAAATGAGCAATAAATTTAACATTTAATTATTTGTGGGGCACACACTTAATTGTCTTACTAGGTGAAGGCACTATTATAACTCCTTTAGAATTATTACCTCATTTTACGCTCATAACAATCCTACAAAGCAGATATTATGATCCCCATTTTACAGATTGAGAAATGAGGCATGCAGAGGTTAAGTAAGACCCATGGTCTTCCACAGCTGATAAATGTAGGGGCTGGGATTCTGAAACAGGCTATTCTCTCCTAATCACTATAGCATGTGGCCACACACTGTGTTTACCATGAGCAATTCTCTGCTAGCTGCTAACCATTCAATATCCCACTACCCACAGCAAATTTGACAGATTTTAAAGTGTTATTTCACAAATAACTTATACTTACAAGGAATTTCCCTGTATCCGATCTCCAAAGCATGAAAATAATTCATAAATTCCCTAACTGGAATTTTGAAAGCTTCAAAGAGGCCCATGTCTTCAAAAAGTCTGTATGATACCTATAAACAGAAGCACAAGCTTTATAAAACATCAAATAATTCATAGCTGGTAGAGACACCCGTTGGGAATAATAAGTCAAGTAACTATTGAGGAACTCTGTGTGTCTAGCCCTTGCAGTCCTGACCACAAGGGGCATTTCATCTGTTTTTAAAGGTGGGGATATGCAACCAAGAAAACAACCAACTCAAACAACAGTATATACACTGCAGAAACATATCAAGGCAATCAATTGTGTGTGATATCAACTGCTAGGCAACACTACTTCCTAAATTGTTGACTGCCAAGTGCGTAACATAAGCAGTAACAAATGAGAAAAGGCTTTAATTTGACTAATTTTTATTGAAAAAGAAATTCCAGAGGATAAAGGATTCATAGCTGTACCTTAGAGAAGGGGAAAGAATTATGAGAGAGAAAAAGGGTTACCTTGACTAAATGTATAGAGAAACCAATTTATTCTACTTCAGTATAAATGCCATCTAAATTATTTTTTCCTCACATGTCTTCTCTTTCTCCTCCAAATATCTATTCTCCTTTCAGTTGCATTCACAGCTCTGGCGACTCAAAGTCAGTGAATACCTTTGCATGCAACTGGCATATTTGACAGGCAAATGATGGAGAAAAAAATGATAAAGGCACAGGCGGTAATGGGGAGAGAAATGGTTATTCACGTGGCAGAATGGAGGACAGCACCATTTCAAGTGGCCTTACTTCGTACCACAAAGGTACAGAGTTGGTTATAACTCAGGAGACTTTATGAAAGAATTATTCATCATTTTTATTATCTGCATCTCTTCTTAAAATTGTCTTGAAATATTTCTTCCAAACCTTTGATATATTGTTTCATAAATTTCTATCTTTTGTCGTTTGACTTTAAATTTATTTAAACTTATTTAAAGTCAATGGCATTCCATTTTGAAGCTTATTTAATTTGAGAGAGAGAGAGAGAAAGACAGTGGGTGAGAGGGGGAGGAGCAGAGAGAGAAGGAGACAGAGAATCCCAAGCAGGCTCCATGCTGTCAGTGCAGAGCCTGATGAGGGGCTTGAACCCATAAACCATGAGATCTTGACCCGAGCTGCAATCAAGAGTCGGATGCTAATCCAACTGAGCCACCCAGGTGCCCCTCAATGATATTCCTTTAATTATGTACTCAGTGTTTAACATACATGTGTGTGTGTGTGTGTGTGTGTGTGTGTGTGTATATATATCTATCTAAAGGAATTTCTATCTAAAATGAAACAGAAGGATATAAAAAAAAAAGTCTCACACATGTGCTGTCAGGAAAATACAATTTAAAGACAGACTGATTTCCCATAAATGACTGATTTACAAAAAAAGTGGTAACACTGGAATTTTCTTAAGTGATAGGTAGTTGATCAAGAGTTGCCTCGTATCAACCTTGGGAAGTTGTACTTATGGTTTCCAGAGGCGTGAACAAGGAATGGTCATGGTCGGGCTGGTTTCACAAAATAAACTGACTTGAGCTTTGTTTGTATGACTGCACTGGTTTCGTCTGCTTGAGGAATTTTCAAACCTGGTCCCATTTGTTTTTTATTTTAACAGTCTCTAATTGAACTATCTCCTTTTTACATTTCCTGCCCATAGATAACAGCCCACCCCAAACCCTCAAGGGACTCATGATAGTTTGCTATAGTTTGCATATCCAAAATCGCAGTACACCTGTTATTCCTGAATAAACTCATCTTTTTGACAACTTTGAGCTTGCCTCGGTTTACTTCTTTAGGCTGGCATAACTAAAAAGGAGAGTTATTCATTCAGCATATATCTATTGAGCCCTTACCATGTTCCAGACAATTTTCTGCATATGAGGCATATATACAGGTAAACAAAACAAAGATCTCTTCTTTCAGGGAGCTTACGGTCTAGCAGGGAAGGGAAGTAAACAGCAGATATAATAAGGTATACACTATGACAAAAAGTAGTAAGTAATATGTAAAAAAAAAAGGTGGGGAGCAGGGGTGGAGGACTGAGAATACCAGGAAAGCTATGGAATTTGCTTTTTTAAGTATGGTGGTTAGAGCAGACATATCCAAGGTGACATTTGAGTAAACAATTGAAGGATATGTAGACTGAAGTACACGGATATCTGAGAAAAGAGTTTTTCATACAGAGAAAAAGACCTGTTCAAAGGCCCTGAGGTATGCTTGCCGTGCTCAAGAAAGAGCAAGAAGGCCAGCATGGCTAAAACAGAATGAATGAGGACAGGAGTAGAATTTATGTTAGTAACAGCAGAGTGGGATTGGGCAGGATGCAATGTTGGGGGTTTGACAGCTAGAGTGACCATTATAAGATTTTTACTCTAAGTGAGGTAGGGAAACCCTGGAAGAGATTAGAGCAGGGAAGTAACTTCATTTGACTTATGTTTTAAAAGCATCACCGTAGCTGCTGTTGGAAACAGATTATACCCTAGGTACATCAACTTCTATATGCTTTTCTCCACTCTGAATGGCAAGTACATTGAGGTTTTACCTTTTTGTTTGGAACATAACATCCACACCTCCTCTCTTTAAAAATGCAACAGAAAGTGAAGTTAAGGTTTCTGTAATATTTAAAGCTGTGTTTTTTTTTTGTTTTGTTATTAAGTTAGCTCCTCTTTACTACTGCTTTGTCTGTATATGAGTTCTCGCTTATAAATACCTAAAGGGCTTAACTATGCATCTTACTTCAGGGACCTGTCCGAGATCACACAGCTGACATTTTCAGAACCAAAATTCAAGCCAAGCCTTTTTTGGCACCAAATTTTGTGCTCTAAACTGTGTTAGATCCTACCACTGGTATGTGAAAAGCAATGTTTTTAAGATTGCAAATAACTAAAGTTCCCCATTACTCTCTTAAACATTTGAAAGATGAATTGAAAAAATTAAGACAACAGGATATCTTAGAGTATGGTTTTAAAATAGGAGAATTTTCACTAAGATACCATTACAAATCAACCACTAATAATTTAAACTACAAGTAAAGATTCCATTAACCAGGTAAATACTGGTAACTGGAAAAAGCAAGCACTTTTCTGAAATCTGAACCATGCCCTTTTAAATTTGTTAAAGTAAATATGATAGTCATCAAAAAGGCAGTCAGTATATTGAGACTGAAAAGTCATTTCCATTGCACATATGTCTCTTTAAAAATCTTTTGAAGTGAGATTTTTTCTGTGTAGTTTCAGCCAAAAGGTGATTTCTCGGAATGTTCAAGTTAATTCATTTCAGCTGTCCCAAAAGTCTTACTAGGGTAAAAAAAAAAAAATATATGCCTTTCACACAGTGAAAATTTCATGATTTTGCGCTTATAAACTCCAATCAAAGAAAAAAAATCCCATAAAGTTCTACTCAGCAAGACAAATAAAACTGCATTTTCTCAAAGTTCAATGTTTTGTAAACCGGAAAGATAAAATAGTGACGTACTAAGGATCATGTAGTTATGTATTTATTTTTGAAAGATGACTGGAAAAAAAAAAACATTAGTGAATTTTACTGCAATCTAATTGTTCACTACATCTAATTTTTCCATTGTGTACTCCTATCCAGGACTCTTACAAAACATTTTGTGGCAAAGCTGGTCAAGGGTCACATTCCCACCCCTTGTTCCCAGAAATTAAAGGGGAGCTAGGTACTTGGCACAGTATTTGCTAGACTGTCACTGTAGCTAAGAAACCAACTACTACAATAACCATTTTCCCACTGGCTCAAGCTCTCTGTTCCCAGTTTGAAGACAGAATAAGTGAATGTTTTATGAGGGGCTGAGAAACAGCTGAAGGTAAACCAAAGTCAACAGTATGGATTTCCTGGGGCACCTGAGTGGCTCAGTCATTTGAGCGTCTGACTTTTGATTTCAGAGCAGGTCAGGTCATGATCTGATCTCATGGTTCCTGAGTTCGAGCCCCGGGCTCTGTACAGACAGTGCGGAACCTGTTTGGGATTCATTCTCTCTCTCTCTCTCTCTCTCCCCACCCCTCCCCTGCTCCCGCTCTCACTCTCTCTCTCTCTCAAAATGAATAAACTTAAAAAAATAAGTATGGGTTTCAAATCACAGGTCCGATATTTACTATATAACTAGATGAATGGGATATGCTGTTTTAAGCCTTGGTTTCCTCTTCTGAAAAACAGATTAGACAGAATACCTGCATCAACGTTACTGAGAGGATTAAATTGCAGAGCTTGGGGGAGTCTGTGACATACATATCAAATACCAAACAATGTGAAAATGTTCTCTTCACAGGAAACACACACTGCAGTGAAAGGGAAAGCAGAGTTCTGGGCCCACTGCCATCTCCTCTTGCTGTGCCATTCCAGGGGTATTTCCAGGTTAGATCCTTCCCTCAGAGGTGCAGTCTGCAAGGGGGTTCAGAAAGTGGGATACAAAATCTCCCAGGGGGAGTCCCGAGGTGTGAGGTGAAGGTGGACTGGATAAAAACAGCTGCCCTTAAAGCTGTCTTCACGATCACCTAGCGTAAAAGAGGTTGCTTAGCACTGAGGAGAAGGAAAGAGAGGAGAAAATGGGCCCACTAACTCCTAGGAAAGGTGCGAGGGCTGTCACCCTAGGTCTCACAGTGTTCATGGTTAGAAGACAGTTTAGCAGAGGCAACTACACGGCACACAGACCATATAATTATTTTGACCTTCATAAGCCATCAATCATTTTAGCCCACTTTTCTGCGTAGGAAGTTGAACTGCCATTATTTTGACACATATCTAACTTCCCTACTAGTCCCTTTAAGGCACAGACCTACTTTTCCTTCTTGAAGACTAGCCTAGTACTTTGTATTTGTGGATCTGAAAAACAGAGGAAAGGCCCCTCTATCATCGTCCTTCAAACCTTCAGGGATCAGGAATCCTCACCCTGAAACTCCACACTTAAGATACTTGTTGAGAAGTCTGAAGAAAGCCTGTCTCTGATGCATGGAGTAGAAATCAGTATGACACGTGATTTCTCTTCTAGTGTTTTCCAGGGAAATGTTGGTGGCTCCAAAAATCTGGGTCTTGAATTCTACGTCTCATATTAATTTGGTGGTCTTTAGCATCTCTGCTGTGATATTTAGTCAATCTATGAGAACACATTTGAAGCATTTTACATAAGCTGATAAATATTATTGTATTAGCCCCTTTCATTGAGGGTGTGTTCTGAGAGGTGTTTGATAACAGAACAATTCCAGTGTTTTGTTTTGTTTTTTTCATTTATTGAGGTCATACTCAAATTCTTAATTTCTGTGTTTTCTTTCTCCTTCAAGGACACCAATTTATATATATTTTTAATGTGGAAAGTCTTGAAAGTCGTCTAGCTTAAGGAAAATATACAAAAAGTCTTGTTAACTAGCAATAGTTCATAGTCTATTTCTTGTGATACTTAATGATGTCTTCTATATTAGAACAGAGAACTCTGATATGTTTCTCACAGCAATGGAAGGAAATGTGTTTCTGCACAATTTTAGGTCTTTTGGTAAGACCTAAACACTGAAATATTAAAAAAAAAAAATAAAAACTAGTCATTAGAAAAAATTATAGACAATAAATTACTATTTATTATTAGGTAGCTTTCTTATCTTGAGGGCTTGTATCAGCTTTTATTTCTTTTGTCCCTGTTCCTCTCGACTGTCTTAAAAACTACGTATTTTAATTGTACATTATGGTATTCACTCACTTGAAATTCCAACTTCTTTTGTTGACCCACTACCAAGGAATCTACAGAATGTGAGGTACTAAAATTTCCTTTTTCCACCTGAAGTCCACCACCAGTGTCAAGCATGTACAGAGCTTTAACCAACCAAGGAGTTTTTTTTTTTTTTTTTCCTACATTTAAAGTCACACATATGAATGCATTCCTTACCTGGCTAAGAATACGGCCACATTTTCTTCCTATTTTTTCCACCAAATCAAAAATTGGAAAATTCCAAGTATTTAGCTGCTCCATAATTGAGTCCAAGTTATCCATGACAAGAGGTTCAGGAGCAAGAACTGGTTTGTCCTATAATGAAGAAGAAAATATTTTAAGAACATGTAATTTTTTTCTACGAAGCAATTTGTGCTTTGTTCAACAACTGAGTTTATAAAAATAAATGACTTAAAACTTCAGGGTGAATGAATAATCTTAAAAAAAAAAAAAGCAAGGTGAATAAGACATTGGTCCCAAAGTAAGGAGAGAAGGTCCTAATGCTGTTTCATACCATGAATTTTGCGTATTAGGTGCCTGTCTATTGCTGGTTCATATATGCCACAGAAAAAAATGGATGTTTCTTTCCTAATAGAACTGTTTTTCACCTACTATGGGATTCTTCAATAAAGACTAAAGGACTTTAGGATGCTCTGAAATTGTATATAAATTTATCTCTTTAGAAGTATATGTAAATTTTTCTGGGAGGGTTCCTGGTTTATATTGGACTTTCAAGAGAAACCCATGATGGGGGAGGAGTCAATCACCCCCTACTCGGCCAAATTTATATTATTGTTTCAAAATCAGCATTAATCCTATGATAACTGCCACATTTTTCACTATTTTTATTTAATTCATGTGATGTATGGTTTATAAAGAAACCCGCACTAAAGAAATGTAAAGACATTTTACAGTATGTTCTAAATGAGGATATTCTTAAGAGTACATTTACCAAAAGGTAAAAGTAAAAAATGATAGTGAGGATTAGGAAACATGGAAATTACATTATCTGACAATCTCTTTAAATTAAAAGTATAAATGGTAACTCAGGCAAAATAAAAATGATAATAGCAACAATGGATAATTACATGACAGTGAACTATTTTCTACTATTTGCTGCCTCCCCATGATTAATCAGACTCAAATGTATGCTTTTATCTTCTTTAAAAGGATCTCTATAAACACCCCAAATCAGTCATCATTAAAGGGTATTTTAACGGGTAGAAAGTGTCAGTATAAATCTAGCTTAATACAATAAGGAAAATAAATATTGGCATGCTTTCTAAATAAAGGAAGTGCTAGGAAAAAGTAGCAGAAGCCCTAAGACAACTAACATATTTCACTTTTACTGATGTTTATAAAATATTTTTTATTGGATGAAATAATTTTTTTTCTATGCACTTTTAGATTTACATTTTTAGATTCTAGGATTAAACACCTGTAATCACTTGTGGACATGAATATTTATGGTTTTAGTCACTAAACAATAGAATCATTAAGAGATTGATATACTTGCATAAGGAAAACATATACTGACACACATAGGTATGGCTATAACACATGTGTGTTCCAAAAGAGATATATCTGTAAATCTAACGACTCAGGGATCTGTTTCTAAGTCAATTTCTGTAACAGAAGGCAATCTCTCAAGTAAATGAATGAGCGCAGTGATATGGGGCTACCAGGAATATCATGGTCTCAGACGTGTAGGTGCCACAAGCCGAAGCTTTCCTTAGAGGCTCTCTCGGGCACTCGGTCTCATCTTCATTCTGTACAATATCACTGCTATCGCTGTTGTTATTGGTTTCATAATCAGAGGTAACTTGAGTAGTGTCATCTGCAATTACAAGAGAACAGATTATGATGAAACCTGCAAATGGAAAAAGGGGTCCTATGTGAGCGCATATTCCTAAGCGAGTAGGGATATAACTGCTTTCATGAGTTGACACACCAAGAAGGTGAGATCATGAAATGGAGAAAAGTACACATTTTTTAACCCAAGAAAATAGACAGAATTATGACCTGTGGTTTATATTACGCTCAGTAATTCCTCAGTAATAATATGTAGATCAGCAGTTTATACTTTTTACAAATCATATAACATTATGTTCCTTTTTCCTTTATGCATCTGCCAACATATTAAACCAGCAAGTAGCTGACAAAACACTAACTCCAGAATGGGCACATGGTAGAAGTTAGCTGACACCTGAGAACAAGGTGGTGTCTGTGGGACAAGGCACAGTAGCATGTGCTGAAGGACTGGGGACATCTTGTGTGTCCAATCTCCATAGGAAGCTGTGGCTTTCCTCCTTAGATGCCTCCTTCCACTGTCTCCCATTTCAATCAGCACTAAACTATGCTAACCAGAGGCCCAATCAGGTAATGTGAACAGTCTGTAGAACATGCTTCTGGGGCAAAGACCTCGAAAGAACCTTCTCATGGCTGAACAAGTGCCTGAATGAAGTTTACTGTGTGAGTGGCCATGTGCTGGACAGCACCGAAAGCACCTTATTTGTACTAACGCCTTTAAACCTACACAATCCTGAGGCGGGTTTTACAGCACATCACTGCATTACTCATATCCTTACTTTGCAGAAAGGAAATGGAGGCACAGAAGGGATAAGTAAATGGCTTAAGGCACACAGCTGGTAAATTTTGCCGCATGACTTTGAACCCATGAAATCGGACCCAACGTCCTATATTCTTTACTTTTGATAAAGCCTAGCTTTTTTTTTCTTTTATGGTTATTGCTAACATCCCTATGGAATCTTTGCTTTCTCCTAAGTCACAAATATATCTTCCTCTGTTTTCTTTCAGAACCTTTATTGTTTTAGCTTTTACATTTAGGTTTATGCTCCACCTCAGGACCATGTTTCATACGGTGTGCAGTAGGGGGTGAAATTCATTTTTTTCCAACCCTCTTGGAATGCTCTGGCATCTTTGTTGAAAATTCAGTGATGGTGTAGACACGGGTCTAATTTGGGGCTTTCTGATCTATTCCATTTGACCTATTTGCTGATCCTTATTCCTGCGCCACACTATCTTGATTACTATAGTTTAAGTCTTGAAGTCAGGTAAAGTATCTCCTCTTTGTTCTCCCTTCTCAGATGCGGATATTCTAGTATTGTTGTATGCCATCATACCTTTACTATCTAATTTTTCTGAAGTTGTTAGCGAATAATGGCTTTTGTTAGGTAGACTATTGCAATCAGGGGTATCTTATAAGAGTTTTCCAAGGACCTGCCTTTCTTCCATCTTTCTCATGAAGTTTGTTCTATGTTAGAATGAGACACAGCATGAAAATACAATCGACAAGTTTCAATCTCAGAATTTGTAGAAAAAATGAAGAACACTCAAAGGCCATAGTTCTACATGAGGCCACAAAGGAGATAAGAAACTACTACCCATATTCTATCAGACTCAGTAGAGTCAAAGAATATCAGGGACATAAGGAGGGGATATTCTGAGTCTTTAGAATGCTACAATATCACAGAGAATTCTCCTTTTGAATTTTTCTTGCCTGTGTCCCTTGACATATCTGCTGAAGCAGATAATCATGAACCATTCTTGCATACCTTTATCACCCTAAACTCTGTAGTTCAGAGAAGCCATTTTTTTCCTACCATGTAGATCTTCAGCGCTAACAAAAGCAAGTCCCTAGATCTGCATCAATAAAAATAAAATAATAATTACTGTAGTGATGGCAGCAAACAGTGGGTCACTGTTGACATTACTTACAGTGACCTAGATACTATTAAGTATTTTACTTGATTTTTTTAAATTGAAGTATAGTTGACATAAAATATTGTATTAGTGTCAGGTATACAAATAGTGATTCAATAATTATATACATTATGCAGTGCTTACCATAAGTGTAGTTACTGTACAGTTATGATATTAGTGACAATATTCCCTTTGCTCTACCTTTCATGCTCATGACTTATTTATCTTATAACTGGAAGTCTGCACCTCGTAATTCCCTTCACCTATTTTGCCCATCCCCTTACTCTATTCCATTCTGGCAATAACATTTTTTCCCTGTAGTTATGAGTTTGTTTCTGTTTGTTTGGTTTTCAGTTTCCACATATAAATGAAATCATGTGTTATTTGTCTTTCTCTGTCTGACTTATTTCACTTAGCATAATAGCCTCTAGGTCTACCCATGTTGTCACAAATGGCAAGATTTCATTATGTTTTTATGGCTGAGTAATATTCTGTCATGTGTTAGGTTGCTTCCATACCTTGGCTGTTGTAAATAATGCTGCAGTAAACATAAGAGTGCATATATCTTTTCAAATTAGTGTTTCCATTACATGTTTTAAGTAATTTAATTCTCACAACAATCCTGTCTGGTATGTACTGTTATCATCCACATCCACAGATGAAGGAATTGAGTCACAGAGATTACAATACAAACTAGTAGACAGTCAAATAAAGGTAAAACCAGCCTTGAATGCCTGTGTTCTTTTAACCTGTCCATAACATTGCCTCAAGAAAAAGCCTTTTTACAAGCTTATAGTGATTCTCAGCCTGTAATGGAGATCTCCAGAGAGTTCCCTAAAAGGGATGACCCTTCAGTGTCCAAGATAATATGACATTTCTATATAGTTCTACACATTATATAAAATGACTTCTAGTTTTAAAAATACATACATTTGTGTATAGATATTGAAAACCATTTTGGATAGCTTTGCATCAAAATTTTACCCACGATTAGCTCTTAGGTAGTAGGACTATGGATGATTTTGTCTTCCTTCACTATCTTTTTAAATTTGTTATCTAAAAAATCGGAAATATATGTTACCTTTTTGATCAGAGGAAAAAAAAAAAAGTAAACTGATTTCCATTTTAAGCAAAAGAATCCAAACAAAGAATTACCCGTTCTGCTTGGTGTCCGAATGGTGGCACTGCTTCTCTCCAGGGGCACAGCAGCAGGGGTCCCCTGGGGATATGGCCTGCCACAGCTGAGAAATATTGGAACAGCTGTAAGTATATTCTTTCTTTTCAAAAAGTCACAGGCATACACCATCTATGTACACATGAAGGGCAATAATAATCAAATCTTTCTATCTTCCACTTATTTGATAGAAAACCTCATTTTGCTTTATATACAGATGCTGATATGCTGATATACTGTTTTCTTTTTTGTGAGAATGTCATCAATACAAATGATCAGAAACTCCACTCAACGCTCATCTTCCTCTATAGTCTAGACCATAGTTGAGGTGAAACTACTGGCAAAATTGTTACGTTATTTAGAGAATCCTGGGATTGTCTGCTACCTATTTATAATAATGATTTTGGAGGTGCTGATGCACATTTAGTTAAAAAATGTTTCCCAGTGGAATCCCTTTGTATCTGCTTAAAAGCCTCATTATTAGATTTATTTCTGTGGATTAAGAGACATTTTATGCCCAAGGAGCCCTTTAAGAAAAGATTGCATATGTGAAAATAGAATGTTAGTATGTTAACTTTTTGTCACAAAATAAAAATTAATTTTTTTTAATATTGACCGGTCACTGTTAAGGCCCTAAGGAAATGAAGAAAGTAGAGATACATTTTGATGAAGAGTGAATGTAAAACTGACTATCACAGAACACTAGTTGAGAAAAACAGGCCAAAGGGGTATGTTGTGAGTGACCTAGAAAAAGGAAAATACTTGAGAGACTGGACTCTTTAACAGAGGACTTTGGAGAAATGTAGGACACTTACTTTCTCAACACTTTTGACTGTTTCATAAATTAAAAAGCAACCCCACAAATGGTTGGGCAAGTTTCTTCTCTTACTTATCTTGTTTAGAAACTCCATGGTTAGATTTTAATTCTGCCTTTTGCTTATGGGTTCTTTTCTTCTGCCTAATACTACAAATGGTCTTGGACGGTTTTGTTTGTTATTTAACCACAGATTATTCACTCTAAAAGGAAAAGAAATGAAATGGTTCATAATTTAATATATTAAACGTCTCATCACTTTTCTTTCCCCTGAATTGTGCTTAGATATGTGTTGTAGAGGTAAGCATTTTTCTAGGTAGAGAATATTTTCATCCTAAGTAAATTTATTTTCAAGCCTTAAACGTAAGTGGAAAAGCGTCACATGTGAAATATTTCTAATTATGAAATCCCATCACTTTGATTTAGGGAATCAAAAGAAAATGGACCAAAGTAGGGGAAAAAACAGACACAAATGATGGGCTTACATTCTGGGGTGACACTTGGTAGATGCCGGGTTTATTAGTTTTAAGAATTTTCATTGCAAGATAATACTTAAAAGGAACACTTAAATTAGTAGTCCAAATATACTACCTCTTATGCCAAAAAAATGGCTTGTTGCGTAGACATTACAGCAGCCAAAAGACGGATTCAATGCCAAACCCTTCGAGTTCAGCAGGGGAAACCACAATAATTAGTCGTGTGTTTCTGGAGCTCTCTGTGCCTACATGGGTGGTTGCCTTGAAGGCAATAATAGAACATGGTTTGAATTACAGATTTATAAAGCCCAAACAAATAAAAGACACACTACTGGATTTATAAACATTACTGAAAAAGCAGGCAGTGAAATTATCTTGTTTTTCTCCAAAACCTCTTTTATAAAAATCCCATTAACATTCTTCCTGCTAAATTCACAAAAAATAGACTGTGATGAGAAGAGCTGTGTGAGTGGTAGATCAGAACATCTCTGCTTTCTTTAGGCAACTTATTTCCCACAAGTCTGAAGCCCGCAGTGGGAGAGTCTCCCTAGAAATGCTGGAAGCAGATGTCCTTGATGGTGATTACTCCGCTGAGCTTTGTCTTGGCTTAGGATGCATACCACAAAAACATGTTTCTTAAGGATGTTCCATCAAACACTAGCTCCATGGGAAATTACTGTGTGTTCACCTAAAGAAATTGGTTATGTTGTCAGATATATTCAGGAAATGCTAGATGAGACAAAAATCAAGAGGTTTCTTTTTGCAGGACTTCTCAGAACTTTTAATAAAGTGATGTGTGTTGTGAATCGCTGAGGGAAATATATAGGATAGGTCTGTTTTACCACAGATCATGCTTTGTGTGAGGGGAGGTGGGGGGAAAGATGGAATTAATATTCCACATAAATTATTTCATTAAAAAAGCTGTCATAGAGAGGGTAACAGAATAACTTTTGGATGGTAAAATAACTTTTTACTCTGACCCTGGACCAGGAAACTAACAAAAATGATTTCCCTTTAAAAATATTTGTAAAGAGAAAAGAATATAGTTTTTGAATAAATGATCAGAAAATGAAACGTGTGAAGCTTAAATCTGGGTCTGTGAACCACCAGGTGATAGTAAACTATCAATATGTAAGTCATTTATGCAAATGGTTATCCTCAGTAACCTTAGAAAAGAAATAACACTCTCATGATTATACTTAGTTTAAAAACACTCAACTTTTGTAGTTAAAAGAATACTGTAATGCTTTAAAACCAGTTCTTCAAGTTGAAGCTATTTCTAGAGAACAATAATATTACTATATTAGTAAAAGAAGGTATTTCCTTCTCAGGACAATGTTGGCAAAATAAGTACTCTCACCATGCTAGGCCTTTTTTTTCTTATCCTCTGTGACAAGACATGACTTCTTATTTAAATTCTATTTAAAAATGATAGAGCAGTACAAACTGATTGCTTAATTGCATTCAGAGACCCATTTTTGGTCCAACTGTAACGTGTCATGTGTTATTTGCATATTTTCAAAGTGAGAATTGCATGCTTAAGATACCTTAAGATACCTTAAGCATTGCATGCTTAAAATACCCTTAAAATCAATATAAAATCCTCCCTGGATATAAAAATATTCCAACACATGGGGCGCCTGGATGCCTCGGTTGGGTGTCCGACTTCAGCTCAGGTCGTGATCTCACAGTTCATGGGTTCGAGCCCTGTGTTGGGTTCTGTGCTGGCAGCTTGGAGCCTGGAGCCTGCTTCAGATTCTGTGTCTCCCTCTCTCTACCCCTCCCCCACTCACACACACTCTCTCTCTCTCTCTCAAAAATCAATAAACATTAAAAAAATTTTTAAAAATTCCAACACAACATCCTATTATACTAAATGACTTGACAATTTTTTACTTACAGGTTTTATGCATTCTCCATCAGTAAGCAGAGGAAATATACAACTAATTATTTTATATCATCTCCAAAGTTTAGCTGTATGGACTGTATGGACTCTAAGCTTTATATTAACAGACAACCACAAAAAAAAAAATTAAGTTTCTATTCAACATAAAATACATTATCTTCTACTTTTCCTGTCCATTGCTTTGTCAAACCTCCACATAGCTACGTGGACTGGAGGTAAGTGTTCCTAAGAAGAAAACTAGTATTCGTTTTCTGATGAGTTAAACTCTAGTTAACACGATAAAATCCTTACCTGCTACATATAACAGGTGGAGGGAGGATCTGAGGAGATAGGTCAGGGGCACTCTGAGTATAAGTTAATGCCCTGTGAGAACTTAGGCCCTGTTTGGCAGCTGTGTTGGCAGATTCTGGAAATTTCACTGCAGAAATTTTGCTGACTGGGCTGCTGGCGGGGGTCCCTTGGGGAGGTGAGGAACAGGGCGACGAAAGAGGTGAAATTTTAGCTAGGGCACCTAGAAAGACAAAGATTTATTAAACCACTAAATAATTTTTTTGGAAATTAGAAACTGCAGCTCTTACGCTTCACCTTAGACCCCCTCTCACTCCATCAGGACCACGTGAGCACTCAGGCCATGGGGCTTGCCCTCTCTGCACACCACCATCTGGAGACAAGGTGTATAGTGGGGTGTCTCCATGGCATGAAATGGGAAGAATGGATCATCATGAAAAGATCAGTGGCAATGTTGGCAAGTTGAGCTAAAGCCTTGGTGTCCTGGAGTAACTTCAGGACAGAAGGATATTATTTTCTCCTCCCATCTTTGTTTCTTCTTGTCATTCTGACATAATAATTAAAATTTCCTCGTGTGCTTGCCTTCTCTAAGGTTGAGAAATTTTTAGCAGTAACAGGATCTGCTATTGTTTTAAACATTAACTTATCTGGAGCAGAGTTTGGCAGGTATCCGATGCTTAAAATTCGTAAATAAAGAAGATATATTTTTGAGAGGCAATTAACTTTATTAACCATCAACATTTTTAGTGAACCTACGTTATTGGTGTGAGACAGAACTCTGATCAGAATAGTATCCGTAGAAACCATTTAAAAATGTAATATGATGCATTTCAGATGAAACAAAAGGACTAAAGCCTAAATTTTAAGTGTTGATATCTGTGCCAAAGTGCGTTTACTCTTGATTGTGAAAACTGGCTTAGATTTCAAAGTGCTGATACTTGAGTACAGGGACGAGATCTTTTGAAGTTCCATTCTCCCAAACACAGAGGAGGCAGCCTGCACTGAAAACTGAAGAGAGAACTATCTTCTGAACAGCCATCTGCTTACTGTTTTCCAGCATTTTATGGCTGAACAACCTACTGTAAGGCAAATGAAATGAAATCTTGAGTTGTTTTCTATTTCTCACCACTCAAGGGAAACACACAACAGGCAGCTCTCACATCATTGACTAATATGTGTGGGGAACTAGCATCCGGCTTAGTTTGCTTCCAACGTCCAGTTCTCTCAAAAGTTTGATATATTACACCCGAAGATTTTTGGGTCCATTGAAAGTAATATTAAGCTTGCTGAAAGGCTTTTGTAATTTTCACATCTCTTGTTGGCATCATTATTTCTTTTGTTTTGTTATACTAGAGGAAAACTGTGCTCTTCCTTTGATAAATGTGGAAGCTGGGAGCCCCTCCTATCCTCCTACTCCTTTCAAATATTTCTGTTGTTGCTTTTTTACGTTCATTTATTTATTTTCGAGAGAAAGAGACAGCACAAATGGGGGAGAAGCAGAGAGAGAGGGAGAGGGTGAGAATCCCAAGCAGGTACCATGCTGTCAGTGCAGAGCTGGACTCGGGGCAAGATCCCACAAACCGTGAGATCACGACCTGAGCCAAAATCAAGAGTGACATGCTTAACCCCTTAACCGACTGAGCGACCCAGGCACCTCTCTATTATTGATACTTGATCAGTAGATTAATCACTTGCCTTCATAGGTAAAGAAATCATTCAAACTCAGGTTAAATAACCTTCCCATGGTCACAGTACTAATGAACAGGAGAATATGGAGTGAGTGCAGCTGTTCTTAGTAAAATGTGGTTTTAGCCCATACTTCTATCAGAGGCTGTCCGAGGAGGAAGAAGAATCCATGATCTGCTAGACAGCATCTGTACTGCACTTAACAACATGCCTAAGGGTTTTTATACTGACTTCTATGTCTTTGGAAAAGATTTAGCTATTTTACCAAAGACACTGACAAACCTACACAACATATAATCTCCTAAACAACCAAAACAAAAACTTCACTTAAGTCTTAGAGTTTCCCAACAAATCTATCATTGTGTGCAACAAGTGGGTTATAGGTGTCCTGTGAAGTACTAGGGCTGTAAATTTTTTTAAATAAGATTTTATTTGTAGCTTTCAGAATAAATTTAATTTTTAATATTATTTCTAATATTTTGTAATGATATTGTATTATATTTTTATAAAACAAAGGAAATAAAATTTTCACCAAGCTCTAAATCCTTTCCCCTTTCTCCACTGCTGTCTGTGGAACACTACTGTATTCACACGTTGTATCACATATAACACATCATAAAATCAGATCATACATCATATGCTCTGATGTAAAAAGGTTGGAAATGGCTAGTTTAATTTAGACTATTTGTTAGATTATGGCCACCTTCAGATAATCTTAGAAAAGCAGGGTAAACATAAGGAGCGGGATGGAGGTATGATGTTGTATAAAGTGTCTGCACAGAGAAATTGCGTGTCCTGTTCCAGAGACTAAGGATGAAGTAGCCAACAACAACAACAAAATCCCAGCTCTCGTGGAGCTTCCACTCTCTTGGAAAAGACAGAACCTCAAAAAAAAAAAAAAAAAAAAAAAAGAGGTGGAAGAGGTGGGGAAAGGAAGAGAAAAGAAAAAGAAGGAGAGGAGGAGGGATTAAAAGAAAAGAAACTCCGGTAGTTTTCAGTGATATAAAGAAAAGTTATGCAGAGAACATAGAACAAAGAACAGAAATTCAGAAATGTTCTAGGGGTAAAATTTGAACAGAGGCCTGGTGCAGTAAGGAAGACATTTAGACAGTACTGGGGGAAGCATGTTTCAGAAAGAGGGCCCTACCTGGGAGAAGTCAGAAGGTCAGTTGGGAGGTCAGTGTGGAAGGGAAAGCAGCTTAGTGAAGGGGAAGGAGGAGCAGGGGACAGGGAACATGTTCAGAGAATCTGCCAGGCAAGACTGTAGAGGGCTGATAGGCCAAGGCAAGATTTTAACTGCTATATTTTGGGAAAAAAAAAAAAAAAAAAAAAAAAAAAGACTTCTGACAGGCACTGCTTTAGGCAATTCTTTAATTATTTTGATAGTTAATTGCGACTTTTTGAGTTTTCCACCACTTTTTTTTTTAATCGAGTCCATGGGAGTAGTGCCATATGAGTCTTAATACAACATATTTTCTAAGGGAAATTTATGAGAAGAGTGATCTTTTTCATTGCAAATTCTTTATAGCTGCCAGCTGAGATTCTCAGAGAAATGCAATTCCCTCTTAAATACAAATTTAACAATCCACTCAATGATTAGAGTTCTTGGAACTCAAGGATTGACTAAATTTAAACAAACAGCAGACCTTAAGACTCCAAACTTACTGCCTGGGATGAAATTTAAAATAAACCTTGTAAGAGAGGAAAAGCACGTTGCTTCTGTAGTACTGTTAGTCTAATATTTTGAACACTTCTGACAAGTACAAGCCCTGGCAACAACCATGAAAAGAGGGATATTTGCCTTCAGTCACAAAGATGGCAACATAGGATGTTCCCAACTTAGCTCTCCCTCGCAAGAACAACCAACAACTACTCAATAAAAAAACACCACTGAGAGAGTCCTAGAACGTGGGGGTGAGGCTGAAGCACTCCCTCTGCACCACAGAGATCAAGACAGACTGCATTAGAAGGGTAAGAAAAGAAGCTACAGGATGACCACGCTGCTCTAACCCCAGCAAGCACAATAATGCACAAAGTCTCCCCTGAGATTCTGGTTCCTCCTGCAGGAAAAGACAACCCAAGTGGATAACGAGCACCCCTCCCAGAATTGTAGGTTGCTCTGTGGGAGTCCCTATTCTGATCTGTACCATGGCGACTGCAGGGGAATCTGTGAGGCTCAACCACTGGGGATCGGACTGTGATATGTAAGGGGGGTAGGGGTTTGCAACAACTAGGACATGGATCTTGGCAGATCAAGTTCATACAAGCAATGCCCAAATAGTAATCCTGACCAGCAGCTTTGCTCAGCTGCAGAACCAAGATGGGGGCACACACAAATCAGTGAACTTGGTGGGTGCAGATGTGCCTGATTCAGATTCTTAAGCAAGGAGTTTTGTCAGCTCTAAAGCTCAGTATGTCCATACCCAGGAAGGAAGTGAGTCATAGTCTCCCCCACTGTGGGGAGTGTCTCCCAGCCCCATCTGATCAAAAGGATTGGTGACAATTCCCAGAGGCAGTGAGGTCCGGTGGCACTTGAGCCAAGAGGTGCAAGGGCAGTGTGGAATACCCCAAGAGCAAAGCCAGTGCTGGGTGTGGAGTGTTCCCATGCTATGCACAGGCAGGGAGATTCATTCATAGCTAAGCCTGAGGGTGACTCCTAGCCACTCTCAACCTGAGAGCCTGTTTGGGAAACTGAAAATAGCTGGAATGATACCTCCCCCTCCTGCCCTGAGACAGTCCTACTCACTGTAGAGAGTGTCTTATCCCCAGCTGACCAACTCTTGGAAGCTGTGTGGTCCAGCATCACTGGAGCTGACAAATGGGCAGGGAGAACAGACAGCTTTCAGAACAAAGCCAGTGGCCCTGCTTGGTCGGGGAACATGAGATGTGGTACCGCTTGAGTTAAGACAACAAACAAAGAGCTTTGTAGGCTTTAGAGCTGCTTCTCCTGCTGTGCCCAAGCAGAGAATCTAAGTTTTTAGTCCTACTCGTTGCTAAATACAACCTATAGCTTGTCTGACCAGGGGTCTAAATAGAGCACACGGGAAGCTGCATAACCCATCAATAGCCTTACATACAGTGGCTCTTGAACAGAGAGCACAGCCTGTGGGTTCCCCCATCTGCAGAGCAAAACTGATGACCTTACCTAACCAGAGCATTCAATGTACACTCTGGCCTGATTCATGTCCCCAAACAACAAGCTGCATAGGTCCTGGGTCCCTGCTAGGGTCCCTGTCATAGTCTATTACTGTATATAATAGCAGTCCTGACCATCTACTAAGCCTGACCAGAGAATCAATGCATTGTGGAGCCCATACTACAGCCTCATTTACGTAGGGGACCAAGCCAACAGTCCTATCCAATTATTACCAGCCAGTGGCACACTCCTTCATTCCCAACCTCAGAGCGTGGACAGTTGTTTCACTCCAAAATAGACCACAATAGCAGGTCCTACCTGCCCAAAGACATTACCAGGAGACAACCCAGAGACAAACTGAGCTGACTGGTGAAAATTGTCTCTGTAGAGCAAACCTGCAA